AAAACAAAGACTTTATTGAACTGTTTGACTAACAGAATCACTAAGATCCCTCCAAAAGGAGGGGGTCTTGAAGTCTGGGCAGTATTTCTAAATGCTGCCTCATAACCAATGTGTTGATATGAAGATGCTACCACTGCCATCAGACTGTATTTTATTGTTCACTTTTCCTCCTGTTTTAATTAATAAATTTGAGGCAGACACATCTGATTAATCATTCCTCGGTCATGTGGCTGCATGAGGCAGGGATGCCAGAAAAGCAAAAAGCAAAAAGAAGTTTCTAGTCTTTTATATGCTGAGCAGAGAACTGATCAGTGATTGGGTTCAGGAGAGTGATTCTAAAGCGATAGCAAGAGGAAGATTTTTTAGGGTGACATAGCTATTCTGTATCCTAATTGTTGTGATGGTTACAGGTACATCTGTGTTAAAACTCATAGGGAGTATGCCCAGAGAGCTGATTTATTGTATGGTAATTAGAAAAACAAAACACAACTATAGCCTCATGAATAACTGTGGACACGAGGACTGTAAGCAGCTACTCACAGTTTCTCCATCTCATTTAGGTACATATTTATATATAATAATCAATTTATTTCCATGCTTTTTCTCTCCTGTTTTATATAAGGCAAACTGATGGTAATTAACTTCATAATTTAGTCCACATGTTATAGGATATCAAGATGGGAATGAATTGAAATTAGAATGAACACACCCATGGATGGATCCAAGTAACCAATAACTTAGATTTTTTCTTAGCATAAATTGGTGCACTTCTGTTTGTATGAGGATTTAATATTTTATGATAGGCAGGAACATGCTGCTGTTGCTAGTACTATTATTTACAAGTATAGGAAGAAGGGTGTTTTGCTTGGTAAAAGAGGTGAATAACACATCGGGGCTTGTGCTAGACAGACTTCAAGACTCTATGAGCAGCCTCCATGTTCCCTACCTCCTGACATTCATGCCCTAATTCTCTCCCCCTTGTGTGTGGGTAGGACTTGTGACTTGCTTTTAACCAACAGAATATGGCAGGTGGGATGGCACTACTGTGATTACATTATATAAGACATGGTGCTGGTAGATTGTTCGAGAGACTCTTTGTTGGCTTGATTAAACTAAGTACCCATTTTGAGAAAGCCATATGGCAAGGAACTGTGGGCAACCATAAAATCTGAGGGGAGCTACTAGGAACTGAAGTCTCTAGGAGCTAAAGGCCTCCCACCAACCATCAGCAACAAGTTGGTGTCCCCAGATCTACAACCATAAGGCAGTGAATTCTGCCAGTAGCCTCAGTGAGTTTGAAAATGGATTCTTCCCCAGTTGAGCTTTTACATGAGAAGCAGCGCAGCTGACACCTTTGTTGAAGCCTTGTAAGTGTCTAAGCAGAGGACTCAGTCAAATTGAGCCCAGATCTCTGGCCGACTGAAATGGTGAGATGATGAATGTGTCGTAATTAGTTACACAGAAAACAAATACAGTGCTCAATGTCCATCCCACCCTCTTAGTATGCCTTCCTGTAGTGAAAGGACTGAAAAGCTAAGAGTACATTTCTCAGATTCCTTTGCAGGATTCTGGATTTATTATAGGTCAATTAGATGCATGCATGTGAGACTTGAATGGATGAGACAAGGTTATGCTTCTGCCATTTCTGCTGATAAACATGTTTGTAAGATGTTTGGCTGTTCTATTACAACTTAGTCACTAGCTTGTGGGTGTTGAGAGACAAGGCATGTGACATCTATTTTCCTAGTGCAAATCACAGCAGGTGGAATATGGCTCCACATAGTCAAAACTTTTTGCACAGATGCTGGCAATTCTGTATGACATCTTGGCAATCACTACATGTAAGTATACCTTTACTGCTTGCTAGTAAATTAATTATGGCAGTAGAAAGCAGCTATTTCCTAATCATAGAATTAGCAACTCTTTTGGTCACCTGGTAGTGCCATGACTTTGGAAGGTGTTCTTGAAAGTAATTTAGTCAGTCCTGCTAGTGTTATGTAAGTCACTTAATAGCCACTCATTTCTTCCAGCCTAAATTAATTAGAGTGAATTATGTTTTCTGCAGCTAAACACTGTTATGGAGAGGGAAGTCCTCAAGTGATATCTGAGTTAAGAGTAAATAAAAATATATCATGGCCCAGCAGCAATGGTACAGATGGTAAGGTGCTGCAGTATGATACCAGAGCCATATAAGAATGCCCTGGATTTGGATTCTGGGTCAATCGAACCCACTGGGTATATGCCCATGATCTTAGCTAGCTGGATGCTGTGAGAGGAGGATGGCAACATGATGAGACCCTGTTGAGGATACCCGTCTCCTTGCTCCCTTACCCCAAGACACAAACAAACAAAAATCATAATAAATAACACTTGTTAAGTAAGCCACTTTTCAATGTTTAATGTAATAGATTTATAATATTTATTTTTATAAAGACAAGTAAAACTACCTTAGAACATATTTAACATTTTACCTTAACATATAAGGTTTAATGCACTGGTTCAGTTTGACACAACTACATAAGATTTTTTAATATTAAGAACAATTTGCTTAACAAAGCAGCAGCTATAAAATTATAATGTATTCAACCTGTTTCTCTTGCAGACTCAGAAAATAAATGTCATTTTAACTTGCATATACTCTTTTTCAACTAAAAATATCTCTATTCAATTTTAATTAATCTAAGCTAAAGTATAATGCTCAGTAATCTTCACTGTTCTGACTTTAAAATCATGTCACATATTAGTAATATATATATATTTTTCTTCTTTTTAATTTTTTTTTTCAATCAAAGTATCTTGGGACCAGCAGGTGGCATGATGGTTTGAACTCACATCAGGTGCTTGTGTATGGGTGCCCAAAAACCTGAGAGGAGAATGGAGGAGAAGGGATTGCAGCATGGCCATCCCTCCTGGGAGGTGATTTCTCACTTTTCTCTCTCTCCAGTGAGCATATGGGACTTACAGTAAAATCCTAAAAAAAATAAATAAATAAATAAAAAAAGAGATTATCTTTTTGTAAATACAACTGATGAAATATTCAATGAGATGTGTACAATAGTACCAACGTACGCAAGCATAGATGAAATGTTCTTCTGCAACAATTGTAGTGTAATTTAAAATAATTGCATGTGTGATTTTTCATATAAACTAGTAAGTAAACTCTAAACTTTGGACGTATTTCAGCAAAACATTTCTGAGGAAAGGCATAGATATTATTTATCAAACCATCTCTTTAAGTGGCATTTTCCTAGAAAAGACAAAGTTGATCAGATCATTTTAAAGACACTATTAGTGTTTGGCCAAACTGAATTTATGAAATTTTTCAAAAGGTCAACTTGAAAATTTTTGAACTTCTCTGAAAATAACATATTCTATGGTGTTTAAAGTCTAACGTGCTAGGCCTTGTTCATAATGGATTCTTGCCAAAGGCTGATTGTTACAGTTTCTTCCCAGCAAGAGAAATTTCTTGGGTCACTCTAAAGGAGGTCTGCCCTTTCACTGTTTCACATCCAGAAAAGTCAAAAGGCTTAAAAAGTTGAAGTATTTGTGAAGCAAGATGCTCTGGTGGATGATTTCTCCCCTAACTTCCTAAGTCGATTTATTCATAAATTGCTCTTATCAGAAGTAGCACAAAACTGTGGATACAAGTGCGGTTTGCTTGTTTGTTTTTGAAAAAAAGTGCTAACAAAGCACCCATTGTCTCTTAATGGACTGCCTTTGTAATGACTGAAATATAAGCACTATAAAGTTATAGAAACTATACATATAAATCAGATAGTCAAAACTTTTCGAATAGATGCTGACAATTCTATATGTCATCTTGGAAATCATTACATATAAGTATACCTTCATTACTTGCTACACTAATAACAATAATTCAGTCTTAGTATAGCTATTCTTTACTATCTAATGTAAATTAAAGCATGACTGGTGAAATTCCAAAATCTAAAGCTAGAAACAAAGCAGTTACAAGCTGCTGGGAGACAAATGCCACAAACAGCTGTGCTCAGAAGAATTTCTAGTAATATTCGAGTCTAATTAGAGACCCATACAGTTAATTGAACTGTTTTTTAACTCCTCTCAAAAGACTGGCTTTATCTAGCTTTAAATCCAAAGCCAATATTGTTTTTCTTTATATCAGCCCAGAGCTCAGAGTTCTTAATTTGTTTATACCAGTAACAGTAGTGTGCGTCAGCAGCTTTTGAACCCTTCAGGTAGGGAGAATGCAGAAGTTACTTAAAAAAATCATTACTAAAAAAAAATGATATTAACCTTAAAAAGTTAATATGTTAATATTCAGTTAGATAACTTTAAAATGAGGTCCCCAAATGGTAATCTTGATAATTAAGGCTATAGATCCAAGAGTCCAGGTTTCTAAAGCATTCTAAGGCAATTTGTACAGTAGGGTTTGCTGATATGACATATCGGCATACTCAAACTTAATACCATCATTTCAAAATCATCACTAATTCATATGTAAATAGCATCACAAGCTAGTAATTTTCTCACTAAAAGTGATATGGTGGTGCCCTCTGGTGGTAACAGGTAGCATACTACCCCGATACTGCGTATCTTCTGAAATATAAAAAGTGTATTTGTATTTGAGAATACAAAAATCTGAGATAATCACAAAGGAATTGTGCTTCTGCATATCTTTTTGTTTGTTTTGCCTTCAAACACATTGGTAACAAGATAAATAAAGTCCTGTGTTCTCCCTACTCCCAGTAATCAAGCTGACAGCCACAGGAATCTTGTGAAACTTGTCTGTGATAGGCAATTCCTGTTGAGATTTACATTTTGGTTCTAGACTTTAATTGAGAGGATTTTGCATTTTCAAGCTTAGCTTTTACATCTATGGGTTTCTCAAAAAACCTTACTAATGCTGGCTCATTCAACAGAGATGCAAGAATCTGTTCAAATGCAAATGACCACTGAGGTTCCTCCCTAAGATAGGAGGGGTCTTTTTCCAAAATAGGCCTCTCTGTTTTCCCCTACCCCAGAAACACAGTGTGTGTCAGAGAATCCTTTGGCTGCTTATGTAGGGCTGTGTAGTTTCCTTCCAACTTCTTCCATCCTAAGCAGAAGGCTGGTTACCACAGCAATAGCTTGATACAATGATTCTTCTTCAGGGTCTTCATGAAATAAGTTATAGAGGGTCTTTGAAAACTGAATAAATTGTGACTAGAAGACACAAGTTGAGAGTATCCCATTTGAATATCAGACTTAATATATAAAAAGAACTTAAAAGTGAAGTCTCCGTGATAGAATTTGTACCATATAATTTCACCCTAGAAATGATAAGAACTGACGACTAAATCCAAAATAAATCTTGGTTCTAGACAGATGAGTATGACCCAGGGAAGAAATTTTCACTTAAGTTCCCTCATTTATTGTCTAATAGCAGACTAATTCCTGGACAGTTGGCCTACTGGCATTACTTCAGTATTAGGTAGTACTTTTAATTAGGCAAAGTCTGATATTTACCTACATGCAAATCATTAATTCATTAACCAATCTTAACAAAATGGTTAAGAATGAGTACTTCTTGGGAACCAGCAGTTAGCGTAATGGCTATGTCGCTGGACTCCCACGTAGTCAACCGCGGTTCGTGTCCCGGACCCGGTGGCTTAAAACTCACGCCGGGCGCGTGTGCGTGCGTGCCCAAGATCCTGAGAGGAGAATGGAGGAGAAGGGATTGCGGCGTGACCATCCCCCCTGGGGGGTGATTTCTCGCTTTCTGTCTCTCTGTCTCTCTCTGTCTGTCTGGCCAGCGCATGCGCTCTACAGTGAAAATCTCTCTAAAAAAAAAAAAAAAGAATGAGTACTTCTTAATCTCCTCGAGGGGCAAGAATTGGCAGCTCAGCTAAAATGACTTAAATTTAAGAAAGATGATTTTGGTGACCTACATTTTGGTACAAGGTAGCCCTGAGGAACCCATTTGGGCAGGTTTTTTCATCTTTAGAGGCTGAGGTGGGGCCAAGTGGAGAGATAAGCTGGTTTGTTTGCTAATTGCCTTTAGGTAATTGAAAGACATTCCTGGAAATTAACTGTCCATTTGAAAAAGTGATTTCTGGGTCAGCAAGGTCGGTGTGATGAATGTGGCTGGATCCCATATGGTCAACTGCATCACTGGAGTACTGGAACCCGAGACTTGAGAAGCATGCCAAGCTCATGTGTGTGTGCCTGCCCAAAATCCCTCAAGGAGGAGAAGGGATTCCCTCTGGGGGGATGCTTTTTCACTTCTCTTCCTCCCTCTCTCCAGAGATGACAAACTAAACAAATAAAAATAAACAAAAACAATTTAAAAAGCGATTTTTCACACAGAGCTCTTGTGCATTAGGTCCAAACTCTTGACAGGACTGAGAAATGGAGAAGGGATTGCTGTGTGATCATACCCCATTGGTGGGTGCTTTCTTTCTTTCCCTCTCTCCCTCTCTCTGCCCCTCCATCTCTCTCTGCCTAGTGCATGCACCTTTTGGCAATAAAAATACAAACAAACAAAATAAGAGCCCTGTAAGTTAATCATCCTACCAGAAGACTTTACAAAGGATATAGGATATATACTAAGGATATAGTTCAGAAAAATTGTAACAAATGTTTAGGCTTTCTTTCTTTCTTTCTTTCTTCCTTAGTCTATAGTACTGTTCATATATAATAATTTTAAAATAAATATATCATATTGACTAATTTTAAAAAGTACTTATTCAATCGTCAAGAGAAATGCTGAATTATTTGATAGTTTTCATTATGATAAAATTCTGTGGATCCTCAGTATTGATAACAACTATATTTTAAGTAAAAAGAAAAAACATATTCTGATTAGAGTATAAGAAAGAGATAAATTTAAAATTGTATCAGTGGGAGGCATTAGTATTGCCTAAACAGGTTCAAATACAAGATCATTAGCAATCCAGGTGTTATCTATCTTAGTAATGTCTTATTCCCAGTTTCCATCACTGGGTTTGGTATCTACAGCAGTGAAGAAATGTTTACTGGCTCCAGCTTTGGCCACAACATAGGGTTTTTTTTTTTGGGGTGGGGGGGGGGGAGAGGTTTTTTTCTATAGGGCACGTGTGCTAGTCAGAAAGACAGAGACAGACAGAGAGATAGAAAGTGAGAAATCACCCCCTAGGGGGGATGGCCACACCACAATCCCTTCTCCTCCATTCTCCTCTCGCGATCTTGGGCACGCATGCACACACATGAGCCCGGTGTGAATTTACATCACTGGGTCCAGGACTCGAACCGCGGTCTGCTACATGGGAGTTCAGCGACATAGCCATTACGCTAAGTGCTGGTCCCAAAATAGGGTTTTCATACAAAGAAAATAAAGTGCATTATGCCTGGAAAAAAAAATAAATGTTCACTGACTATGTTTACCTACAATAAAACTGGAAATATGTTACATGCATTTTTTAAAGAGGTTTTTGCTATAGGGCGCGTGCGCTTGCCAGACAGAGAGAGACAGAGAGATAGAAAGCGAGAAATCATCCCCCAGGGGGGATGGCCATGCCACAATCCCTTCTCCTCCATTCTCCTCTTGGGATCTTGGGCATGCACGCACACGTGCCCAGCGTGAGTTTAAGACATCGGGTACGGGACTCGAACCACTGTCGACTACGTGGGAGTCCAGCGACATAGCCATTATGCTAACTGCTGGTCCCCATACATTTTTTTTTCTATAGGCACAAATGCTGTCATAGCAGAGAAACTATCTGAAACACTAAATGCATTTAACTATTTAAAGTAAAAATGTTTTAAATTTCTGTCTCCACTCTTGTACTCATTTGAAACTTAGAGATGATACACATAGTTTTTTTTTTTTAATTATTAGAGGGCATGTGTGCTTGCCAGAGACGAGAGAGAGAGAGATAGAGAGAGAGAGAGAGCATTCCTCATGTTCATAACTTGATCCCTTCTCATCCATTTCTCCATCTCGTAGAAATTTTGGGCCTGTTTGCATACACACATGGTGTGTTTTACAAGCTGCTAGGCTGGGATTTAAATAGCAGTCAGTCATGTGGAAATCAACTCCCTTAAACACTAGGCTATTGGGTTAGCCTCATATAGATTATTTAACTACTTTTGTAATAGCACATTAGCTATTTTAGAATTGGTTATGCCCACATTCATACAAGAAATAACCTAGAATTTTCTCTTTGAAAATACTATACCTTCGGCTGACAGGTGAAATGGTGGTTAAAGGCTCTGGACTCCCACATGGCTGACCATAGTTCAAGTCCCAGACCTGGCAGCTTGCTTTCTTGCTTTCCCTTTTTCTCTATTGATTGGTCTCTCTCTGGTCAAATAAAAAAAAATAGTAACAAATGGAATTAAATAAATGAATAAATAATTCATAAAAAAATAAAAAAAATACTAGACCTGATTCATTCTTGGTAAATCCTTAATGTTTTCTTCTTTTTTCAAAAGTTCATCTTGCCATTGACTTAGATATGCTTGAATATCAATTTTTCCTTTGCCTGAATGAGGGAAATAAAACCATTTCCATAATAAATAGTCCAATAAATTTTCCAAATCTCAAAAATTATGATTGAAAGATATTTCACAGATATATGATTCCATGTTTTTTAAATCCAGTAAATCATCTGAATTTGCCTTTAATTTTTCCCACTGGATCTCAATACTTTCTCCACTTCCATTTAGATTAAGACTTTTACTTTGGAAAAACTGGGGACTATGGAAGATGTAGGGAGTGAGTGAGAAAGGATGTATTTAGATTAAAACAGTTTACCCTAGTTTAACAATGTAAATTCCATACAGTATTCAATAATTCTGGGAACCAGCAGTTAGCGTAATGGCTATGTCGCTGGACTCCCACGTAGTCGACCGCGGTTTGTGTCCCGGACCCGGCGGCTTAAACTCACGCCGGGC